CTCCCCCACTGGTGCGCTCGCGCGCGCGCGCTCTCTCTCTCTCTCTCTCAAAAATAAACATTAAAAATATTAAAAAATAAAAATAAAGCAGTTTTTTCCTACAGTCTAATGAACTTTCCTGTCACGATCAACCCTTGTTTCTTGCTGGTCATGTGTTGTTCTTATCTCAAAGCCCACTCTGGGAGACCTCCAAATCTCAAAAAATTTTTTAAAAAAGAGGCACACATTTCCCACAGGACCCTACCCCCACCCCCTCGTAGCAGGTACATGAAGCCCTACCCCCCCTGGAAACAAGTGCAAAAGTCTAGCTGTCCCCGCCCTGTCCTCCAACCCCAGCAATTTCCATATTCCCAGCTGTTTCAACATATGGGCAAAGTGAAGGCCTGCATAACACTTCAGGTTAGATTCCTGTGTGTGTGTGTGTGTGTGTGTGTGTGTGTGTGTGTGTGTGTGTGTGTGTATGGGGAGGGGATGCTTCTGGAGGGAATGCGAAAAGGGAATCTAATTACAACAGCAGGCATCTTCCCAGCTGAGAAGAGCCTCGTCCCCAGTGAAAAATGAAACGGTTCTCATGGAGCCTGAGATGGCCCCAAGGCGTCTGGCATGGTTCGTGTTTGTCTTGGAAAGCGGTCCCTCCCTCCAACCAGCAGGTCCTAATCCCTAAACTCTCGCTCCAGCCACCCAGCCCGGGCTGGGATGCAGGATGGCAACGGAGGGAGGGGACACACAAAGACAGGCAGCATGGAGCTGTAAGGAGATTCTAGGCCGATGGTTCCCAAGCCTAACTGAGCATCGGAATCACCTGGGGAAACATTTAAAAGTACAGAGTCCCAGGGGCGCCTGGGGGGCTCAGTCGGTTAAGCGCCCGACTTCGGCTCAGGTTGGGATCTCGCAGTCTATGACTTCGAGCCCCGCGTTAAGCTCTGTGCTGGTGGCTCAGAGCCTGGAGCCTGCTTCAGATTCTGTGTCTCCCTCTCTCTCTGCTCCTCCCCTGTTCACATTCTGTCTCTCTCTCTCAAAAATAAACATTAAAAATTTTTTCATTAAAAAATACAGATTCCCAGGCCCTGTTCCACCTACTGAAGCAGATCTTCCACAGGGTGGGGCCAAGGATCTATATTTTAAAATATTTTTCTAGATGGTTCTGATATAGCCCATCTAAGTAAGAGGTGCTGTCTGGGGTCCCTGATCTAGGCCAAGCCACTTAGGGAGAAACTGAGGCACATAGAGAAGCAGTGATTCATTAGGTCACCCAGGGAGCTGGTGAGGAGCTGGTAGAATGTCACTCACAGGCAAGCCTGTGCCTCATGAGGATCAAACACAGAGCAAGACACAGCAGAGGTGCTCGGGAATGGTGGGCTGGAGTCTTGCGCAGGGCAAGCCTCGTGCGTTGGCAGAGTAGGAGGTGGCCTGGGTGGAGGGGTGACTGGAGCTACCCTCAGCTCCAAAACCTTACATGGAGAAGAAAGGAGTCAACATTTCTTGAGCATCTACTCTGTGCCACACACCAGGTCACGCCACCTTTCACCCCAGCGTTCACGTCATCCTCGCCACCAGGGGGCCTCATTCACGCCCCGTGCGAACAGGAGCAGGCTGAGGACCGCCTAGAATTCACAAAGACCCTAAGTCAGTGAGGCATGGGGCTGGTCGCCAGCCCCAAGGGGTTTCCTCAAGGATCTACACTGCAGTGTGACTCACTTAAGACGGTGGGTATCAGGCAGGGCTCTACATGGATGCCCAGGGGGCATTTGTATCTGCCCTGACACAGTGGCTTTTCACTGCTGCGGTTGCAAGCAAGGGCTTTGGAGCCAGACAGAGCCGGGCTCAATGCATTCTATTTGCTGTGTGACCTCAGGCAAGTTACCTAACTTCCCTGAATCTCCACATCCTCATCTTTAAAGGGGGACTAAGGTCAGCTCTCCATGGGGTGATTGGAAGAAGTCATCTCATCAGCAAAGTGTAATATTTGACAATCCTTGGGCTCTACCGACGTGCGAGTCACTGCACTGCACCCTCTACAACCATAACCTCCTTTAACCTCCACGACAGCCCTGCCCGCCGGTGATATCATAGCCCCATTTTACTGCTGAGACTCAGAGAGGTTAAGTAATTTGTTCAAGGCCACACAGCCAACCCAAGAGCCAAACCCAGAACTGGAGCTCCTGACCACCACACGTACAGCTGTCTGTCGGCACAGTGCTTGCTATCAGTAATATGAATAGCCTGCCACTGACCTCAGAGCAGATTGCAAAAGGGTGTGGGTAGGGGCCTGTGGGTGGGGAGAGCATGTGCTGGTCCCCAGGAAGCTGAGGCTGACGCAGGTCACTGTGGCCCAGTTAGTGGGGTGAAAATAGTAAGTGTGTGCTTAAAAAAAAAAAAAAAAAAAAGGCACGGTCCCTGTTTCAGCCAAACGTTCCTCCCCCCTGCCTTGGCTGGTCCCGCCTCGCCTTGTCCCCGCCTGGTAGCATTCCATTTCCAGTTTCCGTTGCAAAGAGCGATGGCGTCGCCGAGGTGGGAGCCTGGCCATGTTATGAACACCAGGTGGGGACAGGCTGGCCCAGCCTGGCCTCGGGCAGTGCAGACAACCAGGCAATGGGCAGAGGCCTGCGAAACCCAGACTGTCCCTCACTGCCGTGCGCTAATTGCTTTAATTAAGGTGCAGGGCTGTAGGTCAAAGGAGCACACGATCACGGGTGAGGCTTGTACACAGGATCTCAAATCAATTTATGATGAGGTCTCCTCTTACTGACATCAGCGGTTGGTTCTTTAGCCTGGGGTGAATGCGTTCCTGGACAAGAGCTTTGTCCTGAAGGAGGCTCCTGAGTGGAGTGAGGGCCTAGGGAAAGCTATTCGGAAGACGTGACTGGCACGTGGTCAGAGAGAACACAGCAGCTGGGGACCATAGCAAGGAGAACCTTGCTTTTTTTTTTTTTTTTTTAATGTTTACTTGTTTTTGAAAGAGAGAGGAAGAGTGTGAGCAGGGGAGGGGCAGAGAGAGAGGGAGACAGGAGATCTGAAGTGGGGCTCGAACTCACGAACCATGAGATCATAACCTGAGCCAAAGTGGGAAGCTTAACCGAATGAGCCGCCCAGGTACCCTGAAGGTTCATTCACATTAAGAACTCTGGGTCATCCCCCAGCAATACTGAGACAAGCAGTGTGCTCCCCATTCTGCAGACGGGGAAACTGAGGCCAAGAGTCAGCTCTAAACCCGGGCTGGGGTCACAGAACTAAATAAGCACAAAGAACAGAAAGAAGTTTAGTCAAGACCCTCCCCTCCCCAATGTGTCTGCCAAGTGCTTTCTAATTCATGTTTTTACCTTAATACCTGCGGAAAACCTATAGCATAGGCGTGTTTACCATCATTTTACAGAAGAGAAAACTGAGGTATGGAAAGCTTAAGTTCCTTGCTGGTAAGGGGTCTGTCTTACAACAAAAGTCACTCTCTTTCCCGGGTACCTCAGAGTCTCAGGTCACAAGGCATCCAGGAATCTATACCATGTCAAACAATAATGGAATAAACACTACACCTTTTATGTTTGTGTGCTGCTTTTCAATTTTTTTTCATGTTTATTTATTTTTGAGAGACAGAGCACGAGCAAGGGAGGGACAGAGAGAGGAGGAGACACAGAATCCGAAGCACACTCCAAGCTCTGAGCTGTCAGCATACGTGGGCTTGAACCCATGAACTGTGAGACCATGACTTGAGCCGAAGTCAGATGCTTAAACAACTGAGCCACCCAGGCGCCCCTGTGTGCTGCTTTCAAATGTTCATCAACCATTACTCTATTGGATAAAATATTAGTAAAATATAATTCAGAGCTGCTTTTTTATCACTGCATCTCTCCTCCTGACTCGATCACAATCAATGGCTACAAAAAACAACCAGTAAACCTTGGGGGTCTGAGACATGAGTCGATGTTGTGAGAAGTCTGTCATAATGGAAAAAAAAATTGCAGGAGCTAGCTCTGACCTCCCCGGCAGAAGCATATTCTGGAAGGAAAGCAGGCACTCTTCAAAGGGAATGGATTTGACAATGGAGGCACCTGGCTGAGAGGCAAGAACACACTTCTCCAATTGGATATGGAGGCAGTGGAAGCGGGAGGGCGTATTCACCTTGCTGTGATGATGCTGTGTGACAAACAGCCCCCAAGTCTCCGTGTCTCATGCCAACGGGCTCACAAGTGCGCAGGCTGGCTGCGGTGACGTATCCCGGCTGTGGCTGGGGGTCAGCTCTGCTCCACACGTCTCTCTCCTGGGACCCAGGCAGCAGGAGCACTGACCACATGGGGCACACTCTTCTCAGATCACAGGTGGAGCCCCAGAACCCAAGCTGTCCTACAGGCAGATATAAGGCCTCTGCTTGGATGAGCCGTAAGTCACGTCCACCTACATTCCATTGGCAAAGCCAAAGTTGCTGACAGGGGCAGAGCAGTATAATCCGCTCCCAGCAAAGACAGGAGAGTAAATATCTACTGAGCGGTAATATATGGCTGTAGGATCATGACTTCCCTACTGCCGCCTGGTGAAGGAAGTCCTGGGGGACTCTTCTGGGGGGGGCAGGTCCCAAGAGGCCAGAATGGAAAACCCACAGTAGTTTTAGACCTGGACATATGTGTCCAGCACCTAACAAGCATTGGGGCTGGAGGCCCTTCCAGGCCCTTGGCTGGGCCCAGTTCTGCACCCACTCTGCCCTTTGAGTTATGGCAGCTTCTGGCTTCTCAGCACAGTAGAGCCAGATGCAGTCCCAGAGTCTCTCCCGCTCCCCTCCGCCCCATCCCTGCCCATCTTAGGGGACTCCTTCCCCACCAGCTCGTAAAACATTCATTTCCCCTATTCAAATATTTTCACTCTTTAGAATACTTATTAATATAGTATTTTAAGAAGCATTTTTTAAAAAAATCACTCTTTGCCCCGGCTGGGATAGCAGTTCATAAATTATTGATTTCTGCTGGCAGGAAGTTAAGATTCTCTTCTTTCTTGAACAAAAAAAGACACTGCCCTGGCTGGACTCTCATAAGGAGAGGCAAGGGGGGGGGGGTGCAGGAAGAGGGTCTTCCCCCATCCAGGGCTGGGGCAGGAAGAAATGAGTCCCCTTTTCTCCATCTGTAAATGGAGTTCCAGTTCCTGGCTTTCCTCACTGGGGTTTAGGCAATGGGCTTGGCGGAATTCCTGCTTTGTCTCTGGCCCGCTGTGCTACCCTCGGCCAGCTACTTGCTCTCTCTGAGTGGCAGTCTGTGCCTGTAAATGGTAGGGTGCCACCTGCAGCAGGGGGCCGTTGGGAAGTAAGGAATGAATGACGTGGGGCCTGAAGAAGTCACCATCATCCACCAGGTCGTAGTAAGTGGTAATTTTCTTCCTTCTCCCTCTGGTTTCAAATTCCAGCAGAATGGTGCACCTTGGTCTTGCAGCCACTGCATTCAGACTCTGGAATCAGCCCTGGATTGGGCCTAGGGCAAGAAACAGTTTCCGTCTGGGTTTAGCAGGGAGGCCCTCTGTGCTGCCTAGAGGCCCCCCGCAGGGCAATCCAGCATTGCCCTTGAGCCCGGCCAACCCCCCCGCCCCCCGCCCCCCCCCCCCCCGCCGAGGTAGGAGTGACCTTGATCAGGGATTCTCAGCAGCACCAGCCGAGGTAGTCCGTGGGACTCCGCACCAGGGTGAGAGCAGCCACACAGCATGACTTTCCTGCCAGCCTCCGCCCCAGCCTGTCGTCCCCAGGGAGCCCATTAGCATCTGAGACTCCTTGCAAGCCTTGGTAAATTAGGCTTCCTGCGTGGCGGTATTCACTGGAGACTCAGAGAAAGCCGTGGAGTTGTGGGGAGAGACAGCTGAGAGCCCCAGGGAGCGGGCCAGGACAGGTGATGAGCGGAATCTGCACCAGCCCAGCAGAGGGATCTGGGCATTTGACCAGTTTTTCTGGCCATCCGCAGTGGGCTGGTGTCCAGGTGGCGGGAGGTGGTGACCGGGGGCTGCAGCAGCCCCCGATCAATGAAGGATTTGGAGGCTGGGCACCCAGCCCTGGCCCAGGCACCCAGGAATGGATGAGTGCTTGGGCCAGAAACCCAGAATCAGGGTGCCTTAGTCCCCCGGGCAGCAGGACCCGGAAAGGCTGGAGTTCCTTGAGACAGTGACCCAGGGCTTGGTACATCATTTGCTCCTAAACATCAGGTGCAAAAGCTTTGAACTGGGTTATATAAATTAGGACAGATGCTCGCAATGCCATTCTTGGTCATCGTTCTGATGAGCTTTGTGGACAGGGGGAGAAGGGTTTGCCCTCTTACAGCTCCTGGGGTGGTCCTAAAAGAGCCCAAGGGAGGGGCAAGCCCAGGTAGTCATGGATGGAAAAAAATACTCTTGAGTCACTGATCTGGTCCACAGAACGAGGAAGAAACCCAGAAAAGTGAAAAGGCTTGGACAACGTCACACAGCCAATTAGGGCAGAGCCCGCACCAGGGCCCAACCTCCAATCCAGTTCTTTTTCCATGGGTCTGTTTTCTCCACACCCACTTAGTCACGGTGGGCCTCACTCTTTCCACCTGCAAAATGGGAATAATTACACAGCCTTTCCCACCCTAAGCTCTGAAGCCGATGAAACAGGGTGGGATCAGACAGTCACAGCAGTGCCCTTGGCTTGAGGTCAGGATCACCGAGGCTGCCCCAGGCTGCCAAAGACCAATACTATCTCGGGGGGGGGGGGGGGCGCCTGCTTGGAGGAATGCAAGATAGACTACCTTATCTTGACTTCACTCCTGGTGAGGGGCAGGGCTGGGGCTTGAGACCAGCTCTCCCGAATCCCAGTCTGAGACTACATCTGCTACAGTGGGTGACACATTCCTGGACTGATAACCTGTTTGAACAGCACTCAGAATTGTTTTCATTGGGGGTGCCTGGGTGGCTCAGTTGGTTAAGTGTCTGACTCTTGATTTCGGCTCAGGTCATGATCTCACAGTTCATGAATTTGAGTCCCACATCAGGTTCTGTACTGGCAGTGTGGAGCCTGCTTGGGATTCTCTCTCTCTCTCTCTCTCTCTCTCTCTCTCTCTCTCTGTTTCTACCCCACTTGTGCTCTCTCTCTCTTTCAAAATAAATAAATGAACTTAAAACAAGAGTTGCCTTCATTAGTTTACTAGTCCAGCTAAGATTTATTGAGCACCTTCTTCACGCCAGGTGCTTTTCTAGATATAGGAGGTATTGCAGTGAATAAAACAGACAAAATCCCCTACCCTCATAAAGCCTGCACTCTAGTGGAGAGAGATATCCAGTAAACATAGTAAATAAATAGAAGATGTAGTATATTGGATAGCGATAAGTAATATGGATAAAAAAATAAAGCAGGAGGGGAGAATAAAAAATAATGGGGGTGGGGTGATATTTTAAAGTAGTGTGGTCAGGAGGCCTCCCTAAGAAGATGATATGTGAACAAAGACCTAAAGGAGGTGAGGAAATTGGCCATCCAAATATATGGGAGGAGGCTTCTATATGAAGGGAATAGCATGTGCAAAGGCCCTCAGGTCAGTGATGGTCAATCCTATGTGTCTGTCACAGCACCTCCCTGCTCTTTTTCCTTATATAGTTTGGCATCCTCAGAACACTTTTTCCTCCTGCTCCTTTCAAGGTGCTGGCCTTGAAGGTGTAGCCGCCTACAGCAGTCAGGATAATATCCCTCTCCTCATTTTCCAAAAAGAGAAGCCACACAGGCGATTGCCATGTCCAGTAACTGAGATAGACTCTTAAGAGTCTTTCATGGCAGACTCTGATCCAAAACTCGGGCCAGGACACCAGCAACTAGCTCCAAACTCCTCTGATAGATGTAGACCCAGTAGCTGGGGGAAGGGCACTGGTTTAAGATTCCCTGAAATTTCTGTTCACCAACCATACTGGCTAAGAAGGGCTAAAGGGGCCAAGACAAAATATACAGGGAAGTGGCCAAGAATGCAGACGGGACAAGATCCAGAAGACAGCACCATACACATGGGCAACACAGAGAGAGACCTGAGAACGGTAAGGCCATCAGGCCAACATCAATGGGCACCAACTGCTCCCTCCCCAAGGCCCCTGGGTTTCCATATTTCCTTGGCAGGTAAAGATGTGCAAACCCCTTGCCTTCACCCACATTCTATTCTCTTCATTGAGTCATATTCTCTTTGTCATCTACTCCCACTCAGAGTGACTCACTCATGTCAAGAGACCCAACATACTTTCCCCATCCTTCTTGCAGCTCCCAAGACTGGCCGCTGGTGCAGATGGGGCACGTAGGAACAGGGAGTGGTGAAACACAGCACTTCCTCACTGTTGATGCCACTGGGAAGAAAGCAAGAGAAAGACCCGGAAGAGAAGGGTTTTGGATTTCTGTTAAGGCAGTTTAGCATCTGAAAATAGGGTAAGAACTGAGGCTGGAGGCGAGAGGTAGGAGATGGCTTACTCTACATGGCTGCCGCAGTTCCACTTCCCATCCAGATATGACTGAGCTTCCCTCCAAGAAGAACCCCAGACTCTCCTCCAGGTATCCATCCCAGCATTTCCTCTCCTGTCCCCAGCCATGCCAAATGTGACAGCATTTCCAAGGATGTGTTAGGGGTGGTGTTGTAACATCCACTGGGGCCGCAATCAAGAATAACAAAAGTGATGGACTGAAAGAAAAAAGAAAAGCATTTATCTTCCCCAATCCAGTATTTACCAAACAGTGAAGCCCCATCCTCTTTTCTCCTGGCAAGGAAATAATTACACAGCCTGATAGCCAGTCCCTGGGGCCTGGGTTGAGTTAGAGATAATTACCAATTGCTAATAAACATTGAGTTAATTCGCTTGACCAAATTAAAACTAATTTGGATCAAACCATAATGACCTAAATGAAATCCATCTCCCTTGTCTTCTCCACACATATTCACACACTCACACCAACTTATGTCTGGAGCCCTAAAGTCCCCCCAAGTTTAAGAGTCCCAGAACAAAATCTCAACCCACAGAGACCCAGCATCAAGACCAACACCTCTCTTGTTCTTATTGAAGCAACTCTAGACACTAGCATGCAATATCGTGGTCATCTGTCCACTCCACCATCCTGCATCTCACCACATACTTCTCACACTTTCCTCACCTGGCCCACTGGAGCCTACTAAGCTTGCCCGCACCGCAGACACATTCGACTTGCCAATTACAGCTTTTGTCTTTATGATATATGATTATCTCCATTTCTCACAAATCTGGTTTCAATGCCTCTTCTAAAAGCTTCTCTTGGAAAACCTTGGGTAATCTTTATCACATACTGATTTGGGGTTTATGTCTTATCTCCACCTTCCCATCTGCACCAGTCTCCTCCTGGTATCACTCAGTCCCTTCCTGAAGCCCTGTCAATGAATCCTTTGTTTATAGGAGTGAAAATCTATTCTTTCTTGTCTTTCTTTTCTCATTCCAGGGTGGTGAGGCTTTGGGGCTGGTCATGCCTCCTGCCTTTTCTCTTGATAGTTAATGGAAATGAAAGGAGCTTGTTAGTAAGGCTGACTAAGTTCCCAGGGGAGACATGGGTGAAGCGTTCCTTCAAGGTCCACATTGTCTAGCCTAGATCTTTGCAGAACACCAAATAAACTCACATAAGAATAAAAAGTATGGGGGCACCTGGGTGGCTCAGTTGGCTAAGCGTCCAACTTTGGCTCAGGTCATGATCTCACAGTTTGTGGGTTCAAGCCCCATGTCAGGTTCTGTGCTAACAGCTAGCTCAGAGCCTGGAGTCTGCTTCAGATTCTATATCTCCTTCTCTCTCTGACCCTCCTCTGCTCATGCTGTCTCTCTCTCTCTCAGAAAAAAAAAATCAAAAAAAGAATTAAAAGTATGCCCATAGATAGAGAATTCCCTGAGTATTAGCTCTCAGGGAGTTGAGACTTCAGGGATTAGGTAGATAGATGGATGAAGTATATATGTGCCCAGTGTAAGTAAGAACCAAACCAACATGTTCTGATTCAGAAACTGAAAATGAACCAGCAAGAACCCTGCTCAATCATCTTGTCAGTTCCTCTTGTTTTAAAAGAGAAACTGGGGCCAATAGACATGTGACCTGTCCCTCATACAGCAATTTAGTCAGGGATCAGTATATTGGTCTGATGAAATATCAGCTTTTCCCATTTCAATGATAGAGTTAAAGCAGTTCCTTTCCTCTGTGAGCAGTGGATCTTCCCAAAGGTACTTTCTGGAATAAAGGTGCAGACAGGCTGCCTCCTCCTGTCCATCCTGATACCCAGTGGGGTAGGCAGGGAGGTCCCTAGCTAAAGAAGGAATCCAAAGTTGCAGCCTCTCCCCTTTCAAGGCAAGGGGTGGGCACATACTGGGAATGGAGAAGGGGAATGAGCATAGTCCCATCATGCTCAGGTCCTGACAATGCTGAGGGTAGAGGAAGAACTGAGAAGGGACAGCATTCAGCAGTGAGCCTCTGGAGCCTCCTGCTTACAGGATCAGCTGGGTGTGACTGTAACAAGCAAGGGTTGAGAGACCATGGCCATATTGTCTGGGGATGGGCATCCAGACAAAAATTGCCCACCGATCCTTTTTAAAGACATAACTAAAAAGCCAATCACGTGCTTACATTTCAAACATAGCATTAGCACCTAAATTTAAACTGCTGCAGTTAGATCAACTAGTTTATATCCAAGACCTTTAGGCTTTAAATACTCTAGGGGATGCTATGGTGACTAAAGAAAGAACATTTCATTATAAAGTGGATTTTTTTTTTCTCTAAAGGGCACAGACCCTAAAATGGGGCTTGCTTCAGGGATCACTTTATCAAGACAGCCAAAACCTTTCTCCCATGCAGTTTTCTGAGACCTGTCATTATATGGACCATTGAGGATTTTTCCTATGTTTTCTCATGAGGGTGTTTTATTGTCTCCAACTTGATTAAAGGACTTTTTATGGCAGGAACTTGGTTCCTTATGTCCTTTGGGTTCTTCACAGTACACGGTTGAGTGCTGAGACTCAAATAGAAGCCCAACTAATTATTTCTGGGATTGTTGTTCAGCACCACGGACAGAACCTCTCCACCTCTTCCTCCCCCTCCCATGCTGTTTTCTGTTTCTCATGTCTCTTTCCTGATTTCCTTCAATGCCAAGCCTCCAGCTGCCTCACTGAGGGCTTGGCTCTGCTCAAATCTGCCATTTTCTTGGGAGCCTGCACAGGACCCAGAAGCCCCACCATGACAGTTGGGAGTAGAAATGAAGGGCACTGGAAATGAGGGACCTCACAACATTTCTTGTTTTGTTTAGAATGAAACCATTTCAGTCATGTGCTCCAGCCAGAGCCACAGACCCAACTCCCCTAAGAGCTGCAGATACCCTTCCCAATAATGCTGAACTTGGTCTGTGGTCATGGGATTACAGGCCAGCAGAACACCCAGCCACCTGGGGCAATGCTGGGATAGAGTCCGGGCTGCACATGGACTGGCATGAGAGGAGACAGATGGAATAAAAAACATGCCTGGACTGTTAGTGGGGAGGGAATCAAAAGCTGACAGTTGGGAGGGCAACCTCAATCATGAGAGTCCAGGAGAATCTGAAAAGCCCTGGGCAAGGGACAGGACCAGAGACCAGCAGCTGAAGCACCCAAAGACAATAGAAGTTTCAAAGTTGGGTGAGATGGTAGGCTCAAGACAAAGGCTGCAAATAATACCATGGGGCTAGGAACTTCTTAGAAGGACTTCCTCCTGCTCAATTCTGGGTAGAAGTAAGTCACTTTAAAGGGGAGGAGAGAAGGTGTGCCAGTGGGAACACAATAGAATTTTCAATGGGCAATAATCCAGCACCCATTACAGATTAGATCGTGCCATTCTAGAGCTAGAAAGAGTAATCTTGGCCATTCAGGATAACTTCAAAAATCCACTCATTTGTTATTGTCTCTGTTATGAGGGATGCTCCGCAAGCTGACATGAAAACAGTAAGGGCCACCACAACACAAACAATGATTCTATTAAGTTCATTTCCTCTCCTCCTTCTTTCCACATTCTGCCTAGCCTTTAAGGCCCTCTTGAAATCCTTCCTTATCCAGGAAGACTTCTAGGGCTAGAGTCATCACAAGTGCCAAACATGTGTTTGCTGAATTAATGGACAGCCCTGGTGTTCACTGGATTTGATGATCCTAAACCCAACCCTGGTTGAGTTACCCGGGAGACACTCTAAAATGGAGATTTTCATAAAGGAGATTTATGGAGGGTACTTTGGCATCAACAACCAGGGGTGAGGGCAGGGGGAGAGAGTGAAGGAAGTAGAATTGGGCAGAGAGAGGAACTGAACTGATCTGAAGTTTCAACAAAGTTCTTAGCCTATCCTACAGAGATCTCTGGACTGATGTGACCCCTCTGAGTGCAAAGAGATGGGTATTTACACCCCCATATCCATAGATGGATTATTACACTGCCATCAGGAAGCAGGGAGGTGGAATGACCTTAAGTAAGATGGCGGTTTTAGCTGAGGGCAATTCCTGGAAGGGACTCAGATGAAAGTCATCTTCTACCAAGACTTGCAGCAGCTAGAGGAATGAAGACATTGGTCCTGCAGGAAGGATCAGGGTACCCACAGCATCCCCACTACATATATCAATAAACTTGGAAAATTCTGAGTGGTGGTGGGGGGCATATATCAGAATCCCTGGAGGGGACATAGTTTAAAGAATTGTCCAAGATGGTTAAAGACCATCTTGACACAGACCAGCCATCCATCCTCCATCATAGATCATCATGATTAGACATTGTGGATCTACTCCAACTGGCCCTGAGACAAAGGAGGTGATTTGCCCAGGGCAAATGGCTATGCATCTGTAGGCTTCTCTTCATCCTGGTATGAGCCTCATTTCCCAAATGAGTACCACAAAAGTAGCACCCATGCCTTATCTGCTCCCCTATCCCCTGTAATGAACAAAGCCTAGCACACACATGTTCCAGAAAAGATGGGAATGTGTTGGGGGAGGGGGTGGAAGTGAGAGATGAGGTGTGTGTGTCAATAAATGCATGCAGAATAGAATTGGTTTTTCAAAGCAGTTATCATGGGTAGACATGGCCTTTTTGCTGTGTATACATGACTTAACCTGATGAGCAAATCCCTTGACTCTTAATTAACCTTTTCATTTGAACCTCTTGACCCAGGAGCAAATGGAGACTGGTAAATTGGAAATGACAGCCTCACCTCCCCTGTGCCCCAGTGTGGCCAACCACCTAGGCTGGTAATTACCTTAGCCAAGGCTAGGAACTTTTTATGGGCTGATGAACAAATAATCTCCCACTAATAGCTGTGATAACCACAGAGTCCATTCTCCCTTCTCTCCTTCCATGAAACCAGAGGGCAGACTGTAATAATATTCTCTTCTCTGTGTGTGTGTATGTGTGTGTGTGTACATGTGTGTATGTATGTTTTCTTTTAATAAAAAGAGACCATTTGGACTAAGGATGAGGAGAAATAGCATAAGGAGGAGGGAGACATTTGCCTACAAAAACGTCTGTCCCCCAGGAAAATCCAGATGCCCTGTCCATGTCCTTTAGCAGACCTGGTGAACAGCTGATATTTCTGGAACGTGCTCCTTAGTGGATGTCAAAGCAATTTGGAAGGCTGGCTCTTGGCCCACAGTCACATGGAGAGAATGGGGAGGTGTCAGC